GAGAGTTGGAGAAAAAGAAACAGGACGTATCCAAGAAGTATCATTTATTCCAAGGGTAAAAAAAAAAAGGCAAATTCAAATTGAAACAATAGATGACTCTGTCTATGAAACTGATAACATAACCATTCAGAAAGAAAAAGATAATTTTTAAGTAACTTTTAATCATGGTCTTCTGTCTATCCACAGGAATGTATACGTTTGCATGTACATAGACACACACACACACACACACACACACACACACACACACACTGAACTTTCTTTGAATTACATCACAAAAAGTAAGATGAATTGATGGATGAACAGAAGGATGAATTTAGAATAAAGCAAATATAGTTAAAATATTAATTGTAGAATCCAGGTGGTGGGTATATGAGTCTTCATTGTATAATTCTTTTAACCTTTTTGTATGTTGGAAAATTTCATAATTTCTGTATGTTGGAAAAGAACTGCAAAGAAATCCTGAACTTGTCTATGCCTATGATTACTGTCAGTAATCATACTGATACTAAAATTATGAAACTACTTTACATAATCATATTATTAAACAAATAAGGAAAAAGATTACTATTACTAGGACTTAAGATTTTCAGAATAAGTAAAAAGATAAATATAAAATAATTCAAGAAAACAAAAACCTACAAATATCAATTTAAACTCACAATTTTTAAAAAAATCTCTCCCATAGCTATGTCTACTAAAAAGGTTTAAAATCAGTGATCTCCAGTAACAATGGGCACACCCAGTGCCCAGATCTTGATTTCAAAATACCATTTGCCAGTGAAGGGAACCAGGACTCATTAGACAAATGGCTGATTCTAGGTGTGAGGCACAGAAAATACAAGGCAAGCCTGGGTCATCCTTTTGTGCTAGAAAGTAAGAAAGTTCTTAAGGACTAATAAAGGCAAGTCAAAAGAATAAAGATGCCAGTCTGAAGGAACTTCCATCACACAAATTTGAGACAATTTATCTGTCAAAAGACTAATGACTATAAATGATAACACACTGAATAAATAACAATCCATGAATCTATGGAGAGAGAAAGGAGAGCAATGCCCTTCCTTACAGAAGATTAACTACAAAGTGTAGAAAAAATAATAGGGTTAGATAATCACTATTTGCAAACCCCATTATAATAATGTAGGTGAGGATCATAAATGTATATAACCACTAAGTGAAAGCTAGTTAGATAACAGAATATTCTCCTAGTCCCAATATAATGTCCCAAAGATTACTTAGGAATTGCAAAGGAAAAACCATTATATTACAAAGGAGAAATCAAGCAACCGCCATCCAAACCAAGGGATTGAACTGCAGCACACAGAGTGGTAAATCCCAGCACATTCACATCGACAGCACAAATCCTACCCAACATCCCTTCAAAAGATTCTAGCCAAAAAAATATTTAACCTGAGTCTTATGAATAAGCCTTTAAACCCAAATTCCAGATACAGCAAAAACAGAAAATAGGAGAAAAGTTTCATGATACTATAAAGAGCTAATTAAAGAAATAGAAAATGCAGGATATTTTTAAAGGATATTGTACTACATGAACTTTGATTGAGTTCTGGTTTGGGAAAAACAACTATAAAGAATTTTCTTTTAACAACTAGCTGAAAGTGAATTCAGACTGAATATTAGATGATTACTATGGAATTATTGTTAATATTTTACATATGATAATCATATTTTGGCTGTGTAGCAGAATGTTTGTTTTTAGAACCATTGAGATGTACATGCCATGTTGTCTGCAAATTATTTTCAAATGGATCAATATAAAAAAAGAAAAACGTATGTGTGTGCATGTGTATGTGTGTACATACAATACAAAGACAGAAGGGAGAGTAGATGAACCTATAAACTATTAACTGGCCCATCTAGGTAGAGAATATATTATTCTTACAATTTTTATCATACTATTCTTACTATTTTTTTACATATGAAATTTCATAATTAAAAGTTGACTAAAAAACTGAACAAAGTAGGGAATAATACTTGACATTTAACACGGCAAGCGTAGAGGACAACAAAAATTAGAACTTAAGAATACGCATGAAGGTGACAAAAAGAATGCTGGGAAGTTTAAGAAGAGGTTTATAGCTCTCAGTTTATAATGTGACATTTGTGAACACCTTAGCACAATTATCTGGCACCTAGGGCTGTCCGTTAACCCCCATTAACTTCCTCCAGGGTGAGGAGTCCTCAGGCCTTTGGGTCATCTGTGTTCACATCCTAGCCACGTAGTCACTGTGTGTCCTTTGAAACAGTTATCTAATATTGCAAAGTCCCATTTGCCAAGTCTTTAATAGAGGTTTATACTTCTCTCAGTTTATAACGTGATATTTGTGCACACCTTAACATAGTATCTGGCACCTGGAAATCTGTCAGTTAACAACTGTTCACTTGCCAGCTAGCCTTCTAAACTTCCCTGAATCTTGCTTCCCCCTTGCTTTTCAACTTTTGGCTTCAACTTGAGCCTCAGCAAAACACAGCTCGTCACTGCTCTTAAATAACCCATGGTCATCTTTCACCCTTAGCTTTTATTTTGCTATTTTTCTTTCTTGAAATGCTGCTTCTCTCTCTGCCTGCCACTCCCCCTGCTTGTGTTCCCTCTCTCGCTGTGTCTCTCTCTGTCAAATAAATAAATAAAATCTTTAAAAAAAAAATTACAATTTCCAGTTACATTTGATCAGTGCAGATCATATCTGCACATGACAAAATGCAATTGTAAACAAAAGAATTCATAGGGAATATTCAGATTTCTTTAAAGAAATAATTTTATAATTAAGGGAGACAATTTTTTATAGGAATTATGAACAAATACATGTTAGTGCAAAGCTAGTTTCATCTAATGAAGATAATCCCTAAAGAAACTGAAAATCATATACATTTCCAGTTGAGAGTCCCAAATATTTTTTCCTATCTTTTTTCTATCAATCCAATAAGGATTAAGTTTATTTAACATTTTTATAAATCAGTAACTTTAGAAAAGTCATACTACCAAATTAGGAAAACAGTCAATTCACAATTCACTAAAAATATGTAAAGAACATAAATGTGGAGAACAGATAGGATTCCCAGAGGAGTATTTCATGTAACTGCGAGAGATGATGTAATAGCAAGGGTTTAGTCCCACCCTGTACTTAAACCAGTGCTTCTCAAACTCTTCCACTGAAACAGCCCCTTCCTGACAAAATGTCCTTAAAAAGGATGGGGAGGGGAGAACATATATCTCTGTGCGTAGAATAATTCAAATTATACCACAATTTCAAATTTCTCATGTTTTACCCTAAAAATTCATGGTTATAAAGAAGATATGCCATATTTATCATGGCTTTTTTATCTCCTGACACATAATCACACACTCTCAGTGATATATGTGACCCAGTTTGAGAGGCACTGACTTAAACCAAGGTATGTCTACCTGAAAAAATATTTTCCTAAATTATGACACAAGAGTAATTTCATTTTATAATGTCAGGGATAAATAATAATGAAAATTATTTGACATTTGTTGAATAACAATTATGTAAAAAGTATTAGATTAGGTTTTTAATATAATCTTAGTTTTAAAAATGTAAATATTATCTTGCCAACCATAATGAAGGAACTGAGGCACAAAGAGATTAAATAGCTATCCAAAAGCAGTACAGTGAATAAATATTACTTTGTACACAAGTCTTTATTATATCACAATCTCATCAACATTTTATTTTTACAAAAATCTTATTCTGTAACCTGTGTTTTTATCTTATGTATCTATTTAGTAGAGGTGTACTGTGAACGGCACAATGGCCCCTAAGATATAAAAAGAAATTCTTCACTAGTGCTACAGCTTTAAGACTGATCAACAATGGGTGATGTAAGACCATTTATATTAGAAAAGAGACCAACATAGTTGAGTCAATTCTTAGGTTCAAGAAGACTTGGCATTATGGAGCACTGGGTGTTATATGCAAACAATGAATCATGGAACACTACATCAAAAAAAATTTAAAAAATAAAAAAATAATAAAAGTCAAAAAAATTTTAAGAAAGAAAAAAGGGGATAGATGAATCAGTACAGCAAAATATTGAAAAATTATTTAACCTAAGGATGGATATATGGGTGTTAATTACTCAACAGTCTCTTCTTTTGTGCATGTTTGAAAACTTTGATAATAAAAAGTTGAAATAAAAAAAAAAGACTTGGCATTGTAAATGGGATAGGATGTAAATTTTATTTACAAATAAATCCTAGCCCTGATCCAAAATGGCAGCACAGAGTAACCGAGAGAACAAGGACCAGAAGGTACTCAGCAAATCCTAAGCAACCTCTCGTTAGCATCTGTCACTAGCCAGTGACATGTCCTTGAGTAAGTTGCTTGCCTCTCTAGGACTTATGTTCACCATATGAAAGGAGTGTGCATTTCAATTTCTACACTTAAGTTTCCATTACTCTCAGCTAGCACCTCTTTATTAGCATTTTTAAGCAATTTTTCAAATTCACATTTCTATATACTCAACTATGTCTTCGTCCTTTTTTTTTTTTTTTGAAGATTTATTTATCATTTGAGGGAAAAAGAGTGAGCTTGTGGGGAGAGGAGCAGACCAAGAGGGAGAGAATCTCAAGCAGACTCCCACTGAGTTTGGAGCCTGAGGCGATGCTCACGCTCACAACCTTGAGATCCTAACCTGAACTGAAATCGAGTCAGAGGCTTAACCGACTAAGCCACCCAGGGGCCCTAGTCTTGGTCCTTTTTAAAATATTCCCTCAGTTCTTGCTTCTTAACCATTTTATAATCTGGAACACAACAAAACTGCCTAGTGAAAACTGCTAATAATATTAAGTTTACTCTGAGTTCTACTGCCAAAATGTTTATAATATCAGAGACTACTTTGGTATATTTATCTTTTAAAAGCTTTTGTGACTTGATAATTGACATTAAAATTAAATTATATTGTGTTCTTATTCAAATACTTGAGTGCATTAAAAGCCGTAAGAAAACTATACTACTAACCATCTTCCAGTTTGATTTGCAACCTGTTCTTCTAATTTTTGTAGCTCCGATGTGTAAGCCATTATTCGAGCATTGCATACCATGAGATTCTTAACTGCACGCAAGATCTGGTCTTTCTGAGTGCTCAGAGAAAGGAGCTTCCATATTCCTTCTCGCATTCGAATTTCTAAATCTATTTTTTCTTGAATGCTGCAATCCTTAAAAAAAAGAGAAAATATTCTTAAAAGATAGCAAAAATTCAAAATTATAACATTTCTTTTTACCCCAATAGATGGAAAAGGTACTAGACATCATTTTAATGTTATAACATATTGAGAAAGTAACAAAGTTTTAATGTATAATAGCACAAAAGATATAGCTATTTGAAAATGCTCTTTGCAAACCTTCATTTCTTATTTTATTAGGAAGTCTTTACAATCTAGTGGAGAAACAGAACAGAAACAAGGGTGAGAAACATTACATATTCTTAGCATAATTTCACGAGGTTGGATAATGTCCCCCAAATATTCCTGTCCTCCCAGAACTGCAGAATGTGATCTTATTCGAATATAGGGTTTTGCAGATATAATTAGCTAAGATGAGGTCATACTGGAGTAGTATGGGCCCAAACCCAATGGCTGGTGTCCTTATAGGAAAGCACATGAAGAAAGAGACACACACAGAGAGAACTACATGCAAAGACTAAAACAGAGATGGGAATAATGAGTCTACAAGCCAAGGACCACCAAGCAACCACCGGAAGCTGGAAAAGGCAAGGGAAGATTTCTTCCCACAGCCCTTAGCAGGAATATGGGCCTGCAAGTAGGTACCTTGATTTCATATTTCTGGATCCCAGAACAATGAGAGAATAAACTTCTACTGTCTAAAGCCACCCAGTTTTGGTAATTTGTTATAGGACAACCTCGGGAAACTAATACAATAATATAGTAACTAATGTAAACAATAAAGCACATGCACATATTATATAAGTTGTATTGTGGAATGGCAAGATGTGGCTGATGACTAATTAACCAAGGAAAAATTTTCTAAAGGAGAAGATGCTGGAAAAGGGACTAAGGTTTAGCGGCTGTGGTAAGCAATGTAAATAAAATCTCAGAAGCAAGAGTGAAAACACTGTGCCCAGAAAATGTCAGAAGCTTTAGCTATCAGATGGAACAGAGATTTAGAATACATTTTTGGATATGTTTACTTTAGTTTTAAGAGTCACCATGAAACTACTAAATCACTTCAGTTCTGAAAGTCTTTTATTCCATACAATAATCTTGTAATGGCCTGGTTCTATATACAAGTTACACATGTAACATTAAAATTCTATAAACTACAATGTACTATTCTGATTTAATTCACAGTGGCTTTTTAAAAAATTAAAAATCATTGGATACTCCAATGATACTCTTTACTATACTACAAACATAATAATGCTCCAGTATATCTATTTCTAAAAGTAAAGTGACCATCCTGGCTTCTGTGGTAAAAAATGAGTGTTATAATTTACCTTTTAATTAGATCAAAATCTGTATCAAAAAATGTAAACGGAATCTAATAACAGAAGTTCCAGATATTAAAAAGACAATCTTTTCAAAAGGAAAACCTAAAAGTTAGGAGAGCAAGTCTATGAAAATAACCCTAAAAGAGAAGTTGCAGTAGATGATTTAACTTGAGTATCCAAATCAATCAAATGCACTATTCACATGCAGAAAAACAGATCTGTCTAATGACTTTCTGTAATTATATCATGTAATTACCACATAAAAACCTTCTTTAGTAGTAGAACTCAAAACTGGTATACTATATAAATGTAGTTGTTTGCTGGTTTTCCTTCTTTACACAAGGCTGAATTTCAGCAATTCTGTTTTATCTTTTTATGACTTTGTCAGTCCCAAAGTAAATTCTTCTTTAATGTAATTAATAATTAATTATAAGAATTATCTATGTGACCCATATGTCTATACAGATAAGCTCTGGCAGACTGGTTAGTATTGGAGAGTGCATGCAGGGAACAACGTGAAACCAGGATGAATAGCTTTACCCCACAACTCAGATATAAACAAATACCATCTGCTGCCATTAAATTCAATTTTGCTTTTTAAATGTTACTGTGAGGCAGCCAGTTGAACCAGCGCAGCGGTTCTTAAAGCTGGCTGCACATTAGAATCACCTTTGGTAGCAGAAGGGCCTTATAAAAGTACCTAAGTTAAGACTCACCCCAAAACAATTAGACTCTCAGGAGGTGGAGCCTGAGTTTTTGTTTTTGTTTTGTTTTGTTTTTGAAGATTTTATTTATTCATTTGAAACACAGAGATACAGAGAGAGAGAGAGAGCATGATCAGGGAGAGAGGCAGAGGGAGAGGGAGAAGCAGGCTCCTTGCTGAGCCAGGAGCCCGATGTGGGGCTCGATCCCAGGACCCTGGGATCATGACCTGAGCCGAAGGCAGACGCTTAATCGACTGAGCCACCCAGGCGCCCTGAGCCTGAGTTTTTGTTGCTGCTGTTTTTTTTAAGTTCCTCTGTTGATTCAATGTACAGCCAGGGTAGAGATCCACTGCTGTAGTACTTGAAATTCCATAGCAATCTGGAAAGTTGCAACAACCTCAAGGAACCAGCAGGTGGCCACAAACACATTAAAGAATCAGTTTGGGCTTCCAAGGTTTCCCTCTTATAAATGAAGATTGTCTTCTCTTCATCACTTATTGATAGACTATAAAACTATAGAGGCTTGGGAAATAGTGCAGAAATGAAATGCAAAGTTAGGGCTTCTTTTTTTAAATCCCCTTATTTGTAAGGTTCATTGAGGAAATGAGATATATCTAACAAATTAACATTAGAATTCTATCCTTTAGAGCAGGGATCAGCAAATTATAGCCCAGTCAATGCTTGTCTTTTTGTAAATAAACTTGCACTGGGGCACAGTCACGCCCATTTGTATTATCTAAGGCTACTTTCAAACTACAATGGCAGAGGTGAGTAATTTCAACTAAGACCACATGGCCCACAAAGCTGAAAATATTTACCTACCTGTTCTTTTACAGAAAGAGTTCGCTGATCCCTAACCCAGCCAAATTAACATTCATAGTAAACTAGCTTACCTCTCCTCTTCTATAGTGAGTGGATGTGGATCTGGGAGAGCTGACGTGAGTGGCATGAATTGTTAAGTGTATGTATGCTTTCGAATGTACTGAGGTTAAAAAAAAAGAGAGAGAGAGAGCTGTGGTGTTAGCTAGTTTTGTGTTCCCCATGCAACTTTAGTACACATTTATACTTCACACACAGAGAAAAACCTCTCTGGTCAAGTGCTATTACTCCAGCCAAGAAAGTCTTTATGGAGTCAAAGAAGTTAATTTTAGTTAGGGGTGCAAAGTACTCCTGGGGTAAGAGTTGATGTGCTAGCCACAGTGAGAACAATGATCCTGTAATGAGGGCAAAGACTGAGTGTTCAAGGATGATGCTTACTCAACCTCAAAGTGGAACAGGAGGAAGTTAAAATCCCTACTGCCGCTGCCTCAATCATAATGGCAGAGTTAAGACTGAGTAAGACCCCAGACAAAAGGATATACCCATCCCTCTTAGAAGTGTCTGAAAGCAAGTCTCCAGAAAGAGCAAAGAATGGGGGGAAAACCCCCCTCTTGCCATTTCTTCTTCAATTTTCTAAATCAGAGCTTCCTTGTAATCAAGTCAAACGAAGCTTATGACAATGTCCTGATCATGTAGGTATCTAAAGTCAGGCTAATAAAAATAAACCGACAGGGCAAGGCTAAAAATGAAATAGGGAAAGAACTTAAAAGTGCAATTCTAAATTATGTAGAAAACAGAAAGATACTGGGTTTGAAGAGCTAGAATGGGACAAAGGAAGTGCAAAGACAGTGGCCTTAGTTTTGAAATTAAGCATGGACTTAAAAAAAAAAATGAAGTTGGGCTGCTAGAAAGACAACTGTAGTAATCCAGACAGAAACTATCACCCACACAATGGATATAGTTAAACCATGTTTGCTAAGAGACCATGATGAAAAAGACTGCAAAAGAAGATATATAGCATACATCCTTCTTCTAAAAGAAATTGCGTGTTATTTTAAGCATTGTTTATGTACAGAAAAAGTCTGGAAATCGTCAATAGTGGTCATTCTGGGGAATGGCATTAGAGAAAGAATTCTTAAATTCATGTTTCTGTATATGTTTACTTTGCTGAAATGAGATAATGAGACAGAGAAACTGAAGAACTCCATAAAAAATCTTCTTTTTGCTCCTTTTCCTGCTTCTATTCTTGCTAGGACTTGCACCCACACCCCACTTTACACATGCCTTGTAATGCAAATAGAGTATTTCCTCCTTGTAAGGGACAAGGAGTTCATGATTTCTCTAGAACAGATAACATCTAAGGAAGAACCAGATGAGAATGACTGGAGGGATCTACCATATGTGTATTCCAGACCACCAGCACTAGGTATCTAGACACCAAGACCCCCCCCCCCCAGCACCCTGGCTCCAAGCAATAACACTTGGGTCCTCCTCTTTGTTCTAACCAGTTCCTGGATGCCTGAGAGGACACAAACACCAGACCATCATCCTCAATAAAAACCCCCGGACCCCACACTAAGACAAGACTCATGCTCCTTGTCTTTCTGAGTTTCCTGGGCATTTGTCTGTATCTGCTCTCTCTATATCTTCAATGAACTTTTTCACCTCCGTGGGCTCATGTGAGATTTCCATCCTGCAGGAAGCTAAGGACCCTCTGGGCTGGTCCTGCGAGACCCCCGCCGACGGGTCCTCTGACCTGGCCTGCTGGCATCAAAGCATTACTTCTTGAATTTCGTTTTTATTGGGTTTTCAAAAGCTTCAGTATTTGTAAGAAAAGGTAGGTGCCCCAACATCTCAGATGAATGGGACAGAAGATGGTAAGAAAAAGCGTTTTCTCTCAAGCACATTCTGAGTGTTGGGTACTATGCTAAGTATTTTAAAGAAGTTCTCAACTCCCAGCAACTTTCTGGAATAACCATCTTACCCATTTTACAGCTGTGGAAACCAAGGACTTAGAAAAGACAGATAACTTATTCAAGGCTGTACAACAAGCAGAGTTGGATTTGACCTTAATTTGACTCTAAAGCCAATACTCTATGCTGTGTGTACTCATAGATGACTCCAAGGTTTGAGGAGAGGTGTTTCGTAGTGTTACGACCACCCAATAATTTTTGGTCCTATCCTTATTAGATGGCAGGTTCATTAATATCAAAGGAAAAACAGTAAATAAAAATTCAGTTAGTCATGTATAAAATTCTCTTAGTGACCCTCAATAATAGGTTAAAACCTATTACTATTTTGCAGTTTTTATCCAAGATCTGAACAGAAGGAATTCCACAACTCAATTATTTGCTTTTCTTGCTGCCTAAGAAATCACTAAATACTGTACCTTTTCACATGAAAATAATCCAGCCTGGTGTATTTTTAAACATTTATTTTCATTCCATGTAGCTAAACTTCTTTCATGACCTTATACTCTTCTCTCTTTTGAGTAATTCCTAAATATTACTGCTGAACACAACAAAATAAATATACTTGAACGACTATACAAACACCTGTGTAATACACACAAGAACCTCAGCAGATTGCCAATTCACTAGAAATCAAGATTTTGTTAACAATTGCGACAGCCAGGGCACCTGGGTGGCTGAGTCCTTAACCGGCTGCCTTTCGCTCCTGGAATCCCCATATCGGGCTCCCTTTTTCAGCAGAAAACCTGCTTCTCCCTCTCCCATTCCCCCTGCTTGTGTTCCCTCTCTCATTCTCTCTTTCTCTCTCTGTCAAATAAATAAAATCTTAAACAAACAAACAAACAAACAAAAAAACCAGAACAATTGGGACAGCCAAAGTACTTAACGGATAGGACAGAAAAAGAAGTATTTTACATTAAAATGTTTGAAAATTTTGAAAATGCTGGCATAAAACAGCATTACTAATAAAGGAGTTGGACTTTTCTGCATAATGATTCTTAATGTCTTACTTTATTTTTCTCAGTATTATTGAAGATTTACTAACAATGTTGCATCTACTGAGGCTTCTAACAAAGAATAAGTTTCTAAGGAAAGTCTTTGCCAGGTTTCTAAGCAAAGATAATAGGTTGGACCATATAAAATTCCTACTAGTCTACCAATTTTGACCTACAAAACTGGTATTTTCATATGGTTTAATCTATCTCAGAAGTAGGTAAAAGAAGGTGGAGATTAAAACAGAAGTGAAGCTCCAGCTTAAAGACATCAGTTTTAAGACTTTAAAATTATGGTTAAGGGGAAAATATAACATTTTAATAACTGATTTCCCTACGAAAAAATGTTGGGTCTCCATTAAAAAAGGTTTCTGACACACATTTTACATGGCGAAATAGCAAACTATCAAGCTTCTTTCTAATCCAATTCAAAAAGAATCCACTATCAAACCAACTTTTTCTAAAGTTCCAAGGTTGCAGTTTGCTCCTCCACCCTGTCCCCTCAAGTTTCTGTCGTGCGGAGACAGCGCTCCAGTACCTGTGCTTCCGTCAAATCGAGTAATAAGCAAACTGTCCTCCCCTGGCCTCGACTGGACTTCTCGGAAACCCCGGGGCCTCCCTTCCCCCGCCATCGCCTACACTGGGGGGTCCAAACCCTGGAGGGTGGCGAGAAGCAGCGGGCAGGTGCGCCCGGAAACGCTCGGCGGAACTCTGGCATCGCTTCCCGATTCGGGTCTGTCTCCTCCATAAGAAATCGGGGGCCGTGGGGGATGAGGAATTTTCTAAGCTCCCTTGGAGCCTCAAAAGTGCGGCCTCCTAGTCCTTCCCTTTGTTTCTGGCCACGGCTGAATCGGAGACGCGGGGTGGGGGTTTCTCCACGACGAGGCACAACGGTGGCTTGAGGACTCGAGGCCGGGCCCTTCCTCACTCACCTGCTGGGCGGGAAGGCCCGCCAGGCGGAGCTCGGGACCCCTCACGGTCTGCCCCTCCATCTCCAGCGCCACAGCCCGGGCCGCCGCCACTCCTCCAAAGGTAAGATTTGAAAAGCCCGCCGCTCGGGGGAGCCGCGGAGGACGCCAACCGCCGTCCCGGCCGTACCAAGTCCGGGCGCGGGGGGAGGGGCGCGGGGGGCTCGCAGCCGGAGGGCGCACGCGCAGTGGGAGCGCCCCGCGCCCGGGCCTCGCGAGCGGGAAGCGGGCGGAGACCCGAGCTCTCCGTGCCGGAGGAGAAATGCGGAGCGGAGGGCCGACTTAAGGCAGTGACTGGGGTGTGGGCGGGCCTGGGACGGGAGTGGGCCGGGCGGTGGGGAGAGCGCCGGCCACGGAGCGCACCTGGCCCGGCACAGGGTTTCTGCTGGTGGCATTCGAGGCACGCCCTTGGCGCCGAGTGCATTTTGCCTGCATCCCAGTGCATTTTGCCTGCATCCCAATGCTGGCCTTCCTTCCACAGCCCTCGGGCTGGCTGCGGTCCCTGCGTTCTTACGGACAACTCAGGGACACACGGTGTCACTAGGAGCCTATGGCCTCATTCCCAGAGAACCAAGGGACACTGCCCCCAGCGCTCTCACACAGCACAGGGTCACTCAGAGACCAGGGCCCTATAAACCCGCTGGTGAGATACCAAGGTCTCTTCTTTTGTCCCCAGTGTTTCTTTATAATTCCAGAGACCCCACCACACACACCCAAGTAGTCTGTTCATCTTGCAAAGACTTCTTTCTTGAAAGTAGTTCATTCTATTCTTGCAAAATACTTATTTCATTACTCCTTCCCCACCAGCAACCAAGGTGATAGCCGAATGACGTATTATTTTCCCAGAGCCCCATTTTATGCTGTCCCTAAAGACCAATACAAAGACTCTTCAACAAAAAAGATTTTATGTATTTATTAGAGAGAGAGAGAGAGAGCCCGAGCAGGGGGCAGGAGCAGAGGGAGAGAGAGAAGTAGACTCCCCACTGAGCAGGGAGCCCTTTGTGGGGCTTGATCTGTGGACTCTAGACCATACCTGAGCGGGAGGCAGACGCTTAACGGCGTGGGCCACCCAGGCACCCCCCCCCAATACTCTTTAAAGGGTTTTATTATTAATCATAATGGGAAAGTATGGAATCCTTAAAATAAAAATTGAAGTGCTAAACATTTCAGGCCCTTGTAAGATCTTTATAATCTATTGTCCTGGCCTATCCTGACTTACCCTTGAAAAGGCAACAGGACTCCTCTTTGACTTCTGACATTTTTTTCTCCTAAGTGCAAAATTAACCAAATAACCCTCCCACCATCACCTCATAAAAGGCCTTGGGCACTTTTCCTTTCATAAATTGGACGACTATGTTTTTTATTTGCCTGAGACATTCCCTTTTTAGGTTTGTCGTCCCAATGTCCCACCAATCTTGCACTTGTCTAGACAAAGTGAATATTAAATTGTACGGTCACATTATCCACAAGGCTCTTTTTTAAGCAGTTGGTTTGAAGATTTACTTCTGAAAAAATGAAGAGTGGCCCGTCCTCTCAAATAGGTAATTTGCCTCTTTGAGGCCCTCTGGAAAAGATGATACTAGAAGCTTCCCAGCTAGGAATGACCCTCCCCTTACATTAGGAATGTATGGGTCATTAACAATGACCCATATCCTTACACACAACTATAAAATGTGTATAGCTCAAAATTACCAACACAATGAGTTCACCTCATTCCCTTCAAACACAGATCTGAATTCCAAAGTGATTAGGTACCCTTCCCCCAATGCACACCCCTCTCTTCTGCTTACCACTTTGTGGTATAATTATCCCCTACTCAAAATGAGCTGCACGAGCCTAGTAGAGTACCTGACTCATAAAGGAAATACACACAGGGAGCTCATCAACAGACATATATTATTTATCATATAACACACACAGCTCTCAGACTCAAACCAAAATACTTATAGAAGCCATCACTTTATGGAAACAGAGGCAAGCCAACCAATTTTAAATTGGACACGGATGTAGGAATACTTGATGAGTAAATACTGACTGGAGATGCATTTATTTATGATACTTGAGGAGAAGCCATATTTAGTAATTACCTGTGGAATTGACAGTTGCTATTAAAGACCTTTCTCTTTGGAGAAGATATAATGTAGTCCTATCTCTTTATTATTCATCAAGGGATGTGTCCAGGAAGTATTTAAGATATAACTATTATATGGTGATTAAAATACCTCAGAGCAGGAATGCTGTTTCCTTATTTATCCCCAGGTCCCTCTGGTAGTTTCATCAAACGTAGGTTTCTCTGGTGTATGTGATGTACATCAAAAGAGATGGAAACTACCAAAAGTTTAAAGATTTCACATGAGTAGTTTGGTTAGCTTGAGAATGAATGAATGGATGGATGAATGAATGAATGACTTTAACAACTCCCGGAAAGTAAAAAGTATGACATTTTACCATCTCAACTGTTTGAAAAATAGTATTTGGGTATCTCTCATTTCAGAGCTAATATCCCACCCTCCTCAGGCTCCTACCTGATGGATGCCTACCCAATTGCCCAGGTATAAAAGCTTCAGATGAATTGTGAATGATGGGATTACTGTTCTACCAATATTATTTCCCATGGTAAGTTCAACATGCAAGACTAATTATAAGTATTTGTTATCTCTAATATAACAAATAGATAATATTTAATAATATAAAATCAGTATTTGACATAGGACAGCCAATTTAGATAATACTAATAAATGTTACAGCAAATTTTTCTTCTCTTAATCACTGCATTCCCCTTTCTAAATCTCTAAAAGTTCAAAAGAAAAGAAAATACTGAACTGGAAATCAGCTCTCTTACATAATAGACCTATTATGTTTAAAAATGTGATCTGCCCCAGAACAGATAACTATTGTGGTTTCTAATATCCTCCTAGACTCTCTTAAAAAACTCCTATTCAAAAATTCTCTCGATGCTTCCTCTATTCATCTGTTATCTCATAGGCAATGCATTTAAAATGAACTTCATAGACTAGAGCTGTATTTTGAATTATATACAAAAAAAAGAAAAAAAGGAAGAAACAAGTAAAGATGCTAAGCAGAGGTGCAGCATTTGCTTAAATGAATAGGCCATAATCTACAAACAGCAGAAGCATCATATAATCATAAGGAGGATATAGAATACAGAATCTGAGGACTTATTAGCTCTATGACCTTGGGCAAGCCACTCAGTGTCCTTATCTATAAAACAAGTATAATAATACCTAGCTAGTTTTTTAAAAGTTGTTGGGAGACTCAAATGAGATAAGATTTGTGAGAGTGCTTTGTAAACTGGTTATCCACAAAAACATGAGACACTGCTACTGTAGGAAGGAAGCATCAGCACCTATGGGCTGATGTACAGGACCCACAGAACACTGAGATCTGAATGAGAAAAGCTTATATGAATAGGGTTGGGCATATTCAAGATATACCACCTACCACTGAAAAATAATTAATACCTCGATGACATTATAAAGAAATACAAATCAATAAATATCCAACTGGAAAATAGTCAAATGTTATGGTAGGCATATTGTAGGAGATTAAACCCAAGTGGCAAATAAAATGTGAAAAGTTGCTCAACTTTATTATCAGTTTAATCTGTAAATTTGCAAATTTGCAATTTACAGGTTAAGACCCCAACAAGGTAAATATTTTATAGTTACTACATTGGTAAATATTAAGAAGTTTGATAATACTAAGGACTGGCGAATTTACAGGTCACAAGGATATTATACACTGATAGAGGAGATGTAAATTTGTGCAATTACTTTGGAAAAAATTCAAAACTATCTTGTAAAGTTAAAAATGTATATACCAAGCCATTCCACTCTTAGGTACATATAACCTTAGGGAACTTCTTACAAACGTGTACCAGCAACATGTTTGTAATAGCAAAAATACAAAACAATCCAAATATTCATTTCAAGACAATGGATTTAAAAAAATGGTGGTGGTGTACCCAATGACATATGTCAGTAAAAATGAGTAAACCATAGATACATGTAACATCATGGCTGAATCTTGGAAATATTAAATGAAGGAATCAGTTGCAGAGGAGTACATAGACTATGTACTTTTTACAAAGCTGAATAAGAGAATGTAAACAATATTATGTTTAGAAACACATACATGTAATAAAAAGCTTATATTTTAAAAAGAAGAGAGTACTAAGAACAAAACTCAGAAGAGTGACTACCTCTGGGAGAAAGGCAAGGGGATGGGAGGGAGACAGAGCATACAGACACAAAGCTACTAGTAATGTTTTAGTTCTTAAGCTGGGTAATGGGTTCCCAGGTATTCATTTTAATGTTTACCTAGTAACTTACATATATATTGCATATATTCTTTTGCATACCTCCAACATGTCATAATAGAAATCATTCTAAGGTATTTGAAATGTTCTTGTACAAGTTAAACAATGGTGATAATGTACAGTCTTTTAAAAGATTCTTACTTGGCAAAATAACAATACATTTTTTGTCTTCCAAAATTTGACTTACGTTTGATTCGTTTCCGGTACATTTTAGTAGGTGAAAGTGTGAAAGCACAGCTGTAATGCGCTGGTGCCTATGCCCAGCGAGAGATGAAAACTGGCCATGTGGGTTTATCTGAACACTTCAGAGCCATTGTTTGGGAGCTTGGATGGCAGGTGAGGTAGGTAGATTTTGCAAAGGATGAGAGGTTTGTCAGCAGGTGGGGACGAAGTGAAGTGCAATTTGAGTAGTTACTGTTAATGTGACCTATATATTACACATAGGCCTAGAGACATTCAAATGACATTAAAATCAAAGGGCTCCTTACTGAGCAAGAAAATCAGCCAGAGGAGTTAGTTACATGACTTGAATCCGTGGTCCTCAAACAGTGGCACACAAAACTTTCCGAAGTTTTATAGGCTTGGACAGTGTTAAAGGAATCATTGTTAAGATCTTCAGCCCTATCCTAAAGTTGATCTACCTAAGGTGCCTGTTGTCTGGGCCTCCCACTGACCGCCTTTCACA